AAAAATCCAAGTGAACATCAATCAGTACTCAATATTAATTTAAACTGCTTTAAATATGACTGCTGCTTATTTCCTGTGCATTCTGAAGGTATACTGAGGGTTTGGTGAGAAACAAATGGAAATGGCAAGTTATTATATTTTATGAAAATCTATCTTGCGTTGCAGTCCTGTGTGCGAGCGTGCAGTAGCTCACGCCGCGCACAAGTGCATATCCTTTTGAGATATCAATTATAATCAATTTTAATAAAACACAACACTACATTGTATAACTCTAACAGTTAGGCTTTTTAATATCTGTTGTTCTCCGGTTGTCAGTCAGAATGACAATTCTTGCATGAACATTATAGGCCTATATATACACTCAAGCCAATTTATTATTCTTTCCTTTTTGCCTTAGTTTAAAATATTTATTTTGAAACTAATTAATTAAACAAACAGACTTACTGGGTGAGCAGGGTATGCTATGACAGCCGTCATATACCCTGCCATGTCCAGCTGATGCAAAGAATAGAATTTATATCTACACAGAAGAAAGCCCTGTCTAGACTCTGCCCCAGTATGAGTTGTGTCGAGCTATTCATTAGCCTGTTTGTTTGATGAAAAAAGATTAAATGTAGTAGCAATGAATGCATTAAGAATCCGTACAACTGCAGCAGCAGAGGACTATTATTCTGCTGCGTGATACTGCGGAAGAACTGATGATGGCACGGTTTGATCTTCGGCTGACCAATCAGCGGAGAGGGGCGTTTAATTCCCGCCCACGTGTAGGAATTTTGGTAAGTAAGAAATATAGCAAAAAGCATTTTTATAAGCATAAAAAAATATTACTATTAATATCATTAATATTATAGCACTATTTTAATATGTTGCCATTTATGCAGTGAAATTCATACATTTTTAAGTATCAAAAGTGTCCAAATATTTCTGGGGTCAATGTATTGAGATTAACATTTATTCTATATAAGCATCATGTGTTCATCAAATGACTTCAAAGCTTGTCAGTGCTTTGTGCTTGGCAGGATTTTAATATTTTACTGGCTCATAAATACAATGTACTGGAATGAATTATTGAAAAGCAGCAATAGTATGCTAAGATGACGAGAGCATTTTTATTAACTATTAAATGACAGCATTCACTGAAATGGCCCAAATATTTCAATACGTTTTTTAATTCATTAATAACACGCACATTTTTTTTTTATATAAATAAACTGCCTATTTGCACAAACCACCGTTTTAAAAAGAACATATTTCTGAAGAATTGTTTAGAGAACGTTCAGCTCTACATCTAATTAATGAACGTATACTGCCATCTGGTGGCCATATAAAAGGCTTACAGTTACAAAAAACACTTACACTTACCGAACTTCTTCTCCTGCGAAATCAAACACCTTGGTAATTGTGATTTTGGAGGATTCTTTTGGTTTGTCCTCCTGCTGCTGAGACACTGTAGGGGGTTTACTGGGCTTATCTATGCCAGTTGTAGATGTGGACTATAAGAGATGCAAACAAAAAACATGCACATGTATCTAAGAGACAAATAAAATACAAGCACAAAATACATAAAATGAAAAAGAAATTAAATTTTATGAATTTAAATTAAAAAAAATAAGTAATGCATTCTGACTGTAGTACCATGACTACAAAGCCACTGAACCAAAAACACAATAAAACACACAAAAAAAAAACCAAAATATTTTACATCAGCCCAAATGGAGCAAAGACAGAAATCTGATATTAGTACATGAAAATTTAAAACAATAAATTATATATCTTACTTCACTTTGATTGTTTTCTTGAGTTGATGGTTACCTGCTGAGAGCCCGTACTTGCAGCTGCTCCTTTGGGTTGAGAGCCAACATCACTCAAAAAACTAGCCCAAATATCATCTGCTTTCTTCTTCTGTTTCTCTTCATTGTCCTCTTTTGACTCCGTTACAAAATGATCTTCTTTTGGCCCATCTTCACCTTTCTGTTGGTCTGCTGAACAACCCTCAGCATCTTCTTCTAGTTTGAGGCCTCCTTTTTTCCTTTTCCTTTTTAAATATGGAAAAATTGAGAAAATTTTCCCCTTACAATCAGTTTTGCTTGGGTTTAAAATATACATTTGTAATACGATACCTCATAGGGATGTTTGCTTTAGTTTTCTTCTTTTTCTTCTTCACATGCTCTGACTGCTGCGCATCATTATCCTCCCCTTCCAGTGCGTCCTCCTTTTCACATTCATTCATGTCATCCTCGCTCAGATTATCATCTGATACATTAAAAAAATTAAACCAATGTGAATGGATCATATTTATGACACAAAGACAAAAAGAACATAGCAGTTGGCAAATCAAATTACGATGCATTTCTGCCTCATTTTTTTTTTTAAGAGTTATTGGTGCACTGTTGGTTGAAGAGAAAAAACGAAATGCTACTAAAAATGCATGTTGTCACTTTCAGTAACTTAAAAGTAAACTATATATATTTTTACAAATTCGTAGAAGCAGTAAAATCTGTAGTTGCAGTTTTTCCTAATTATTTTGACCTTAAGTCCTCTATTAGAGAGAATCTCGCTCATATTTTAAATTAGGAAAAGTGAACGGTTAAAGGCAGAATGTCCTCACTTCTAGTCCTATAGTTTTTCCTCTCAGTACCAGTTCCTCTCCTCCGCCCACTAAAAGAGTCTTAATGCAGTTCATGCTGTAAATGTATGATTCTTCTAAGATAAAGACCATGAAAGACGTGGTGTTCATTTGCAAGGCATACAGGACCATGAAAGACCAGCAGGGGTCTTGGTAAATAATATCAGTAACGTTAATTGTTTGCATCCTTGTCATCACTCTCACAGCCAAATAAACTTATTTTAGAAAGGAGTACGTTAGCATATTAGTTAATCTTATCACATGAAACACCTATAATATTCAAATGGATTCTGAATAAATATACCGAATACACATTCTAGACAATACTTTGATAATAGATGTAAGTTATATGTTAAAGATCATTCGGAAAGTGTGAACCCAAAATAAGCATTATCTATGATACTCTTTGTGTAATTGTTTTTGCATATCACCTATCATTAATTAAAGTAGGTGTAATGTTAAAACGGAGCACTATACATATGCAGAGCACAGACAAAGTAGCATAGCTTCATCTGTGTTCTTGCTCATATACAACCATGCTAACTTCAAGCTAAAATCTCTTACCAGAAGGGACATAGTCTTTATCTTCATTTGAGGAATAGCCGTCCGAGTCGTAATCCGAATAATTCATTTTTATTTCTCTGTGTGATGCGCTGTGTTAGCAGCTAAAAGAAAACAAATTAATAATTATAATTCTCCATAAATCTGAAACTCTTCCCTTTACCAGATTCCCTCCACTTCAAGTTCTTCTAACTCAGAATCCAGGCATTAGACAATTTACTTGGTTTAAACCCAATGCAAATGTGAGATCAAGAATTGATTATTGGCTTGGCACTGAGGCTGTCTATAAGCATGTATATAATTGCTCTATCTCTAGTGCTCCCTTAAGTGATCATTGTGTAATTGAGTTAAACTTAAAACAAAAGGGTGAATCTAGTAATTCCAAAGGGTACTGGAAATTTAATGCTGACCTATTAACTCAGGATGACTACTGTATATTCATATAAAGAAGATTATAACTGATATCGGTAGGAAATGTATGCCAAGTGGTAGTAAATGGGAGTTTTTAAAATATAAACTTAAAGAATTTTCAATAACTTATGGGAAAAATCTTAAGAAAAAGAGATTAGCGAAAGAAATTAGTTTAATAAATAAGATTAATTTGTGCTGTTGCAAATCTATTCTATCAGATGAAGATAAGAAAAAACTTATTCATTTACATTCCTTATTGGATGAACTTTATGTAAGGCAAAGGGTGCATACGTGAGGTCAAGAGCAAAATGGATGGAGGAGGGGGAGAAAAATAGCTCATACTTTTGCAATCTTGAAAAAAGATGTCAAGTAAGAAATGCTGTAGATAGTATATTGATAAATCAGAATGGATGTTCTGATAACAATATTATTGCAAGAGAGGTGTTTCAGTTCTACTCAAATTTATATACTTCTGCTTACTCCAGTGATGATTCTGAACATTTCTTTAAGAAAGTAAAAAATTATATCCCTACAGTTGAGAATTCATTTAAAGAACTTTGTGAATCCGATTTGACCATTCAAGAATTAGATTTAGCCTTAAAAAAAATGAAAACTGATAAATCTCCTGGGCCAGATGGCCTAACCTCAGATTTTTATAAGTTCTTTTGGGAAGATTTAAAAATGTTATTGTTTGAAGCACAACAAGATTGTATTATATATAATAATCTATTGCCTACTATGAAGCAGGGTCTTATTATTCTGATTCCAAAACCTGGAAAAGACTAAAGGATTTTAGATAATCTACGGCCTATTACGCTCCTCAACACTGATTACAAAATATTTTCCGGAGTGATTGCGGCCAGGTTAAGGGTGGGACTTCCTCAAATAATTAGTGAGACTCAATCTGGGTTCCTTAAGGGTAGATCAATTCATAACAATATTCATTTGGTGCTTGATATCATAGAATATAGTCATTTAATTGAAAACGATGGTTTTATTTTATTTTTAGATTTCTTTAAAGCGTTTGATATGGTAGAACATCCATTTCTTTTTCAGACACTCAGTCATTTTGGTTTTGGGCCAAAATTTATAAATATCATCAAAATGCTTTACAATGACATTAATAGTTCAGTGGCTCTTCCCAATGGAACTTGTCCAAGATTTCAGGTGAACAGAGGCATAAGACAAGGCTGTGGGAGTTCACCTCTGTTATTTATTATGGTTGCGTAACTGCTAGCTATTCTAGTTAAAAATGAGAATATCGCTGGTATTAATTTTATGGAACACCATTTTATTATAAGTCAACTTGCTGATGATTCAACCCTTTTTTTAAAAGATCATATGCAAATCCCATTAGCACTTCATTCTGTAGAGTGTTTTGCCAAAGCATCAGGATTACAGCTAAATACTTCGAAATGTGAATTGATGGCTATTCACGAGCTCCCTTTGACCTCATTATATAATGTTTCAATTAAGAAGAAGGTGAAATATTTAGGTATCACAATTTCAAAAGATCTAGAGAGAATTGAAATGTTAAATATTGACAAAAAAAATTAAAAATGTAGATCAATTATGAACTCTTGGTTACAGAGAGATATAGCCATTTTCGAGAGAATATTGCTATAAAAAATTGAAAGTCTTTTTAGATTAATTTACCCAGGTTCTTCATTGCCAATTTCTTCCAATTAATAAACTTAATTTTGATTTCATTTGGAGGAAAAAGTATCACTATATAAGGAAAAATGATATAATAAGAGAATATGAGGATGGTGGGTTAAAGGCAATAGATTTTGATATTATGAATGGAGTACTTAAACTTAAATGGCTTCAGTCTTTTATTAGAAATGAGCATTCATACTGGTTTGCAATTCGTTGGTGATAAGTGATAAGGCCAAGAAATTATTTGATTTGTTTAATAAGTGTAATTTTGTTTAATCCTCTACAATGTAATAAAATAAAATAAAATAATATAGAATAAAATATATTCATGCAACCATAAACAATGTAGGTTATAGTATGATTAATATGAATGTCTCAGTCTGTGAGGACTTACAGTTGTGTTTATGTTAACCTATTTTGTTCTGTTATGATGCTTGAAATGCAAAATAAAAAAATAAAAAAAACTTCAAGTTCTTCTTCTTCTTCTTCTTCTTCTTCTTCTTTATTTTTAACGGTGGTTGGCATCCAGCTTATTGGTGCATTACCGCCACCATCTGTTCCGGAGTGTGGATCAATCGGTAGGTTTACAATCTAATTCTAGACAATGATATGAGGAAATAGGGAGAATAGGAGCAACAAAAAAAAACCTATCCATCATATCCTACAATAAAGCCCAGTATCCCTTAAAAAACCTAACAGTTCTCTAACCTGAGCTCTTTCCGTCATACTTAGGGACCCTAAGAAATAGGGGTGCAGAAACTTACTTTAAAATCAAGCCTAAGTTAGGGTTGATTTTAAAGTAAGTTTCTGCACCCATATTTCTTAAAGATTATTTTCCGTCATCTCTCTTTGTATCTTGTATTTCCTACACTTAAGAATTACATGCTCCACGGATTCTTCTTCCTGACATTCATCACACAGACCAGACTGGTGTTTCCCTACCATTTTTAAAGTTTTATTTAGAGCACAATGTCCCACAAACTTAACCTAGTCAACACAATTTCCTCTCTCCTGTTCCCAATTCCTACCCTCTTTGCTTTAATACTCTTTTGAGTACCGTCACGACTGATAAGCTACTACTAAATATTGTAGAAACTTAATTTTCTGTAAAGTTGCTTTGCAACGATTTGTATCGTAAAAAGCGCTATACAAATAAACTTGAATTGAATTTAATTTAATTTTGAATTTGGTATAGATGTCTCCCTTTCCCCTCTTTATCCCACATTTCTTGCCATGTTTGGTTTGTTTTTTTCCCAGATTATGCTTTTCACTTCTGCTTTACTGATTCTTATTTGCATTTCTACGTTTCCCTTCATCAATGCCCTCTTTGCCACCTTATACTTTTTCATTCCCCTCCACTATATGCGCTGAAACCCATACAAATTTTACTTGGCCTCCCTGATTTGTTATTCTTGTAACTGAGTTAAGGGTCTTTTTGAATGTAAAGATCTCAAACTTACTAGAACTGATGATGAATCTGAACATATTACAACTTTGTCTATTCCCGTTTTTTCCACCCACCGTAAAGCAACTAAAATTGCCAGCATCTCCACTGTATATACTGCTAAATGGTTAGATGTTCTTCTATTAACTTCAATTCCTTTTCCTGGAACCACCACTCCAAATCCTGTTACTTCTGTCTCCGGGTTCTTAGTACCATCAGTATAGATCTGTGTAAAGTTTTTATATACTGCTGTAACATACTCATAAAACACACCTACTAAATCAGCTTCTTCTTCTTTCCTTTTGATCTCTAAGAGATACCAATCTACCTCAGGAATAATAATCTTCCATGGGGCTATGACTGAATATGCTACCGTAGGACTAAACTTCATATCAAAGACCCCAAGCAATTTTGTCACTTCCTTCCCTAAACTACCAAAAATTGTCCTTCTTGCCTCTCCTATTCTCCCAGCATTCCTTCAACACATCTTTTGTGGGGTGCAATTCATTATCCCAGTAATTTGCTATCAATAGTCCATCATTCACTGAACAAAATTATAAACGCAACACTTTTGTTTTTGCCCCCATTTTTCATGAACTGAACTCAAAGATCTAAGACTTTTTCTATGTACACAAAAGGCCTATTGAGAGAAATAGGCCTTTTGTGTACATAGAAAAAGTCTTAGATCTTTGAGTTCAGCTCATGAAAAATGGGGGCAAAAACAAAAGTGTTGCGTTTATAATTTTGTTCAGTATAGATCATATCATAGCCACATAAATTATTTTGAATGATTGACAACTTGCACCCCATTCTCTACCAGTCAAGCATCTCATAACATTTATTACTTTTTTGCTTTTATCTTCTATTCTTCTAATATGGTCTGCCCATGTCAACCGGGAATCAAAAAGCACCCCTAAAAATGTAAACGTTCCAACCCTTTCTAGTTCTTTACCATATAACCTTATGTTCAATCTTTCATAAATTATTTTATTGGTAAAGAAAACAACTTGAGTTTTTTTCCACTGAGAAACTACATCTCCACTCATAACCCCATTCCACCACCTCATCAACAGCTTCTTGTACTTTCCACATACTCCATAGTTCTCCCTCTCTTCCACAAGGCCCCTTCATCTGCAAAAAGAGACCTACCTATACCAGCTGGTACATTTGAGAAGACATCATTGATCATTATTATAAATAGTAATGGGCTCATCACACTTCCTTGAGGAGTACCATTTTCAACAGTGTACTGATTTGACAAATCTGCTCCAATTCGTACTCGGATATTCCTATCAAACAAAAAGTCCTTTATCCAATTAAAAACTCTCCCTCCAATCTCCAACTTTTGCAACTTGATTAACACTCCTTCCTTCCACATCGTATCATAGGCTTTTTCTATGTTCAAAAACACTGCAATAACTGCCTCTTTATTATCCTCCTGAGCTGTCCTTATTTCATTTTCTAGCCTGATCACAGAATCCATAGTACTTCGACCTTTCCTAAACCCACTTTGATAGGCTGCCATCTTACCTTTCTTCTCAAGCTCATATGATAACCTTTCTGTCATCATTCTCTCCATTATCTTGCATATACTGGATGTTAGGGCTATCGGTCTATAGCTGGTGGGTTTTGATGGGTCCTTACAAGGTTTCCTTATCAGTATAACTATTGCTTCTTTCCAAATCTTTGGCAATCTTGCCTCCACCCATACTCTATTATAAAGATGTAGTAACTTCAAAAGCGCTCTTTCCCCCAATTTTTTAACATCACATAGCTTATCTTATCTTTCCCTGGGGATGATGGTTTTGATCTTTTTATTGCTCTCATCATCTCTTCCAGTGTAAATGGTTCATTAGTTGTGCTATCTACTTCATCCTTCCTTTCTGTTATTCCTGGATATTGACTTAACTTACTTTCTCTTCTTTTCCTTTCCTCCTCTGATAGATTTTCCGAACATGTATCTTTGCGAATGCTTTTGCCATACTCTCTGCCTTTTCCCACTTCAAGTTCTTTGCAAGATTGTACCAACCTTGTGCTAAAAAACAATGACAGAAAATATTTTTAAAAATATGAATTAACAACAACAATAATAAACTAGGTTATTGTTATTATTGAAGATAATTAAAGGTAAAATATTATTAAATGAATAATAAAATGTAACATACAAACTGAAATACGATAACGAAATTATTCATATTCTGCCTTCCTTGCTCTTGTATTCTATTACATAAATATTATATACATTTTCACAATGTGTGTTTCACTAATTACAATGACAATAAATAAATAAATGACAGAAAAATGTATTAAAATATTTTTTAAATTATTAAAAACAACAACAACAATGATAAACTGAGCTACTACTACTACTACTATTACTATTATTATTATTATTATTATTATTATTATTAAAGGTAAATAAAGGTCAAATATTGTATTATAAGGTCATTATAATAAATATATCAAATTAAAATAGAGTAAAGAAATTAATAAAATGTATTAAAAATTAATAAAATTAATAAAATTCTGCCCTCCTGCCTCCTCTATTATAATTTCTTTGTATTTTTGTTATCTTTAATGTACCAACCTTGTGCTAAAAAACAGTGACAAAATATTGAAAAAATATTTAACAACAACAACAACGATAATAAACTGAATTATTATGGACAGTCCACAACATAAGATGGAATAAAATTAAATTGAATAAAATTAAATATAAATTATAATAAAACAAAACAAAACAAAATTGTTTTCAATTTAGTCATTTCAGTTTAAACTTTCACATTCTATCCTTATGATATGCGAATCAGTTTTTACGTAAACCGAGAAGGGACATACTACAAACCGTACAGGCCCCGCCCATTCGCCTGTCGCAAATCGCAGGTGACAGCAAGATAATCTCAAACCAGACATAGTTGTGGTCGTTAAAATTACATTGTTCTCGTTTTATGAACGGTCTTACAGAGCATTGGTAGGTTGACAGTGCTTTCAGTTTAATGAAAGTAAATCCGCGCACTCATCTCATCGGGTTTCCGCAGTTCAAATGGACGTTCATGCAGATGGATGAGCATCTGTGCTAAAAACAAACGCTCAGCTCAAGCCCACATTCCATTTCTAATGCTGTTATTCGGATTTGACACTTTCCTCACGCATGATCGCGCCGTTGATCTTAAGAGAAATGCAGGACGAATATAACGTAGGATTCGTGAAGCAGATCCTCAGTTTGAATTTGGTGCCGAGGAAAAATGTCACCAACTGCGGGAGGAACGACACGTCTCTGTGCGATTTTTCCGGTGAGTTTTAACACCACAGCAGACATCACACATCATTTCGATCGGCTCATGATTGTACTACTATCCGACACTATTATTGTGTTGTATGATTCGCATTGCACTGAAAAGCGGTCAGGCTTTCAAACTGATAATGGGTTAGCAACTAAGTTAATGCTAGTTTGTTAGCTTGTCCGGCTAATGTTAAATGTGTTTGGATGCTTGTGTTTGCTAAAATTATGGTGTTATTGGGAAATTACGGTCAATAACTTTATATATGTACAGATATTTTTATCTGTCTGTTTATATAACTGTCTGTTTTTCTGTCTATGTACCTGCATAGTAGTTCTATCTTGTTTGTTAGTATATCTATAGACAGGCAGACAGAACGACAGACAGGTATTTCTACATAGAGATACGCAAAAAGACATCTATCTATCTATCTATCTATCTTTAGACAGACAGCATGACAGATATTACTACAGAAAGATAAAGATAAACACTTATCTGTCTGTTCTGTCTATCATTAGATGGACAGACACTTATCTATCTTTCTGTCATTCTATAGGCTACTAGTAATGTCTGTCTGTCTATCTATCAACCTGTTGTTCTATCTATATCCATGTCTATCTGTGTCTATCCATCTATTTATATATCAATCTATCTGTCTAACCATCTATGTGTGCATCGGTCTATCCATTCATTTATTCATCTGTCTAACTGTCAGTCTGTCTGAACATTTAGGCCTATCTGTGTGTCTATCTGTCTACCCATTCATTCATCTATCTCTCTACCTGACCTGTCTGTCTGTCTGTCTTTGACAGTGCTTTCAGTTTAATGAAAGTAAATCCGCGCACTCATCTCATCGGGTTTCCGCAGTTCAAATGGACGTTCATGCAGATGGATGAGCATCTGTGCTAAAAACAAACGCTCAGCTCAAGCCCACATTCCATTTCTAATGCTGTTATTCGGATTTGACACTTTCCTCACGCATGATCGCGCCGTTGATCTTAAGAGAAATGCAGGACGAATATAACGTAGGATTCGTGAAGCAGATCCTCAGTTTGAATTTGGTGCCGAGGAAAAATGTCACCAACTGCGGGAGGAACGACACGTCTCTGTGCGATTTTTCCGGTGAGTTTTAACACCACAGCAGACATCACACATCATTTCGATCGGCTCATGATTGTACTACTATCCGACACTATTATTGTGTTGTATGATTCGCATTGCACTGAAAAGCGGTCAGGCTTTCAAACTGATAATGGGTTAGCAACTAAGTTAATGCTAGTTTGTTAGCTTGTCCGGCTAATGCTAAATGTGTTTAGATGCTTGTGTTTGCTAAAATTATGGGGTTATTGGGAAATTACGGTCAATAACTTTATATATGTACAGATATTTTTATCTGTCTGTTTATATGACTGTCTGTTTTTCTGTCTATTTACCTGCATAGTAGTTCTATCTTGTTTGTTAGTATATCTATAGACAGGCAGACAGAACGACAGACAGGTATTTCTACATAGAGATACGCAAAAAGACATCTATCTATCTATCTATCTATCTTTAGACAGACAGCATGACAGATATTACTACAGAAAGATAAAGATAAACACTTATCTGTCTGTTCTGTCTATCATTAGATGGACAGACACAATGACAGATATTATTACAGATCAACTGATAGACATCCGGCAGATAGATATTTATTAGGGCTGCACGATAAATCGCATGGGATATTTAACGCGCATCTTGTCAGAAAGCCGGTTCTGTAAGCTCCGTTGGCTGTCCACTACGCGCTACCCATTCATTCATCTATCTCTCTACCTGACCTGTCTGTCTGTCTGTCTTCTTCAAGTTGTGTGATTTAATTACATATTTCCATATTCAATTTACAGTATTACAGGGTTGTAATGTATTATAACTAATGACGCTTCACCACTAACAAACAGTCCTAATTTCCACGATGCCAGTCATTGAGATCTTTTCTAAGGTTACGTGGGAGATGTTTACATCACAGGTGTGGGAAGGTTTGATAGACTGTTGCCTGATCTTCAGGCTTTGGATGTGTTTCTGAATGTGATGTCTTGCTTTGGCAGAGATGTGGTATGGGGTGTTCCTGTGGGCTGTTGTCTCCTCATTGGTGTTCCACCTGCCTGCTGCCCTCCTGGCTCTGGCAACCCTTCGCAGACATAAGATTGCACGATTTTTCTCAGTCGGCATCCTGCTAATGGGCCTCATCGGCCCGCTGTTTGGAGGGGTTCTTACTAGTATGTAGCTTGTTTTTTTTGATCTAGCTACATCTGAGATATGTCATAATGAATATTAAAAGCATGTAGACCAGGGGTGTCCAATCCAGCTCTTAAAGGGCCACTGTCCTGCAGAGTTTAGCTCCCCAATTAAACACACCTGAACCAAAGTAATCAAGGCCTTTGGGATTACTATGGCGCTTTTCCACTGCGTGGTACGACTTGGCTCTGCACGGCTCGGCTCGCGTTTCCACTGAAGTTTAGTACCGCTTTAGAGTGGGCGGGATTATTCACGTCGTTATAGCTGCGCCACCTCTACTGCCGTGACTCCTGAAAAACTTTTTCATTCCGCGTCGCCCCATCAAGCTCTCGCTGGATCCGCTCCTCTGCTATTAACGAGAGGAATGTCTGTACAGACCACGAAACAGCCATTTTTTTGGTTGTTAAAATGTGCGCTCGTTCAAAACAGCTACAGTCTTCCAGATTGATATGTTGGGGCAAGTTGGAGCTAAATTCTGCAGGACATTGGCCCTCCAGGACCAGGATTGGACACCCCTGATCTAGACATACAAAATGTTGGTATTTAGTCATTTATTTTGACATTTAATGATTAAATAGTCACTAAATATTTTACTTGTATGCTATACATATCAATATAAATGTCTTACAGGTGCAGCCATAGCAGGAGTTTATAAAGCGGCTGGGAAGAGCATGTTTTCCTTGGAGGCCTTGGTGTTTGGAGTAGGACAGTCGTTGTGTGTATTTATCATTTCCTTCTTCAGAGTGCTGGCTACCCTGTAGCACTAAGACATTGGCACACCAGGCTGCCATCACAAGGAGAGGAAGCGGTTCAGTCACCTGGGCGTCATATGCAAAACATGGAGGCCTTACTTCCCAAACAGTCCCAACAACTTGTTTCCTTTGATACAGAGCTATGGTGTTTTTTCCAAACGGGTTTCTTATGAGTTCTTCGAGTAACATGGGACTTTTCATTTGAAAAGGAAACATTACCACTACCTTTAAAGCAGAGCTAGCCTTGCGTTACAGGTGGAGTCATCTTGCACATGTGTATTTTTTTTTTTTTTAATTAATCATTATAAATGATATTTTGTTGGTTGATTTCTTTTCATTTTCCTTTCTTAACACTTAATTTGTCTTTTATAAAGTTTTGGATGAGGTAAAGACTCACTTGATGTACATACTAAAGCCCATTCCAGCTTGCCCATAAATTATGCTTGAGAGGATCAACTTGCATTTACTTTGCACTGATTATATGAATCCATTAGGCCAAAGGCTAGAAATTTAAATTTGTTTCTCTACTTCACAATGTTTTATATGTATATATGCCTCTGACTTTGGGCATATTTCAAGAGATTACAGTTGAACACACTTGTGTGTGGACTTTGGCATTGTAATCGTTTCATGGCATAAGATTTCCTGCTGGAGTTAAGTAGCTTTTGTTGGTTAAATTACATATTTGTGACCTGTTTTTACGTTCAAAGTCATTAAGAATTTGTTTTTCAAGTGGGCTCCAGGATTTGGCCTTCACATTGTTATTTCTGTATATATTAAGAGTGATACAATGTTGCTTTGACACTTATTTGCCCATAAGATTCTGTATGTGGCAGCCTCACCTCTTATGCCTAACGTGTGAATGTAAAACAGATTTCAGCTGAATCCATCGTAGAATCACTTAAACCTTCACCAAAGAAATGATGAACACTATTCTACAGCCGTTATATATCGCAGACACTGTTATTTTTAGAAAAATGTAATGTGGAAAGATCAAACGGAATTACTATAGAATGTACAAAATTATAATATCAGAATCAGAAACCCAAGTGTATGTACAGAAGTATATAAAATAAGATGCTTAAGTTGCAAAAATATGTACTCACACATGTAGATGTTCTCCCTATCTTCTTGTTCAGTAACTACATTATCAGCAAGAGGTGTAATTCTGAAACTGATATGAATATGATCTTAACACACAGTAGCAGAGTTTTTAGCCTGACATCTAAACCAAACTTATTTCTCAAATATAAGTTTCACATTTCTTCAGTATAAACATTTGTAGACTTGTGTTCTGTTCTCCCATATTCAAGCCCTCAGGAAGTTCTTGTGTTCTGGAAGATTCATTCAAAGCTTGTGTGGTGTGAGTAAATGTAAATCAGACTAATCTTTTTATGATTGGAGCTCTAACATTAGTGGGACGCACTGAAAGCTATGCTTTATTCGTCTGAGCCTATGGTCTCTCAATTGCACAAATGGATTTATTTTTCTAAAGTCCAATCATTGGTGGAGTGACTGCTCATTGTTTTTGTGGTTTGTCTTTGATTGTATGGTCTTCTTGAGAAATGGATTTACTCTTTACAACGTGATACTTTCTGGTTATTTCTTTTTCTGGGCAAGTTTAATTTCCTTATTGTATAATAAGTGCCAATTGCTAGTATTTTCATGAAATAAAATGGTTTAGATTATAATAACACACCCTTGTTTTGCTATTGTGAATTGCTGTCCTGTGGGTTTGGTGTAATATGTTGGCCAGTAAGCTAAATGTGTGCCTCGGACATGAAAATAACTGCTGAAAGAGTAGTAAAGACAATTTGGTTGTATAAATGGAGGGTGGTTTATTCACGCCACTCTCATCTGTGGTTTAGTGCAGCTTCTGTGTTCTCCAGCACTTCCACACTCACAGATGGCTCTCCTGTGTTCAATTAACATTCACCGGCCAAATCTACACACCCGCCACTTGCTGCGTACTGGAGGGAGTAACATGCTGTCGAAACACACATGGAATGATGACTCAAAGCATGTGGGCTTTTCTGCTAACAGAGCCTGGTTAAACTGGAATAAAAGAACATTAGGCCTATAATAAGAAGAGTAGAACAGTATTTTGGAATATGAAAGCCGTTAGTTACCATAACAGGTTTGGAAACACTGATTTTAGTGTCATTAGTTTTTATAATTACCTTAAATATAAGAGGAAAGCATTTGGCTGGTGAGTTTTGAGCAGTGTAGAGTAGCACTTGTTGTTTGTCGTTTCTCCGATCACAAATGCAGACATGGTTTTATGTTTACGTGGCGCGATGCAACGCAACGCGTAAAAAGACAGTATAAATCATTATAATCCGTAATTATGTCCCCACTGGATGCAACAAATGCCTCGTTTATAAAGGGTTTTAATGTTTTTGTCTCGTCGCGCCGGGACACGGCATCACAGTATGGTAAGGGGC